CCTTAACTCTTGTAATAAAGAAAAAAAAAAACCACTAAAACACAATGCAAGATGATTTAAGTGTTATAGAGTACAGACTTGGAAAAAACCAAGTAATAGCAGCAAAATTTGTCTATTACAGAAAAATAAGTATAAAAAAATTGGGTTATGCCAGGCGTGGTTATGCCAGGCACATGCCTTTAAACCTAGCACTTGGGAGGCAGAGGCAGATGGATCTCCATGAGTTTGAGGCCGGCCTGGTCTGCACAGCAAGTTGCAGGCCAGCTAGGGCTTCAGGGAGACCCTGTCTCAAAAAGGAAAAAAAAAATGGGTTAGTAAAAAGTAAACACTGGGACTGGAGAGGTGGGGCTCAGCGGTTAAGAACACTGGTTGTTCTTGCAGAAGACCCAGGTTTGAATCCCAGCACCCACATGGCAGCTTACTGCAGGCAATACATGCATACACATAAAAAAATAATAAATAAAAATTTTTAAAAAGTAAACACCTCAAATTCTCCAAGAAGTTTAGAAATAAACAAACCTTGTGGAAACTTAGATACAACCTAATAAACAGAAACGAAATACAGACGCAATCAGAATGTTAGAAAACAAAACATTAAAAATTGGTTTTCAGTTTTTAAAACAAAATAACAGTTATTTCCATCAGTAACAGACATGAGAGATCACAACACAGTATTACAATGCTTCCTTAGCTTAGCTAACATATTTAGCTTCAGCTCACATAAAATTAATGTTCTACAACAATTGCTAAAAAAGAAATGTAATGAACACTAAAGACATCCTCAGAAAATATAGTTAAGATAAAATATCTATGAATAGCCATTACTGGTGCACATAAAATGCTAATATTAAGGTTGTTTTCTATAACCAGTTTCTATATCACACTATTGCATCTTTTCATGTCAGCAAACATGTATCAATGTTTTAAAGGCTACAGATTTTGTGTGTGTGTGTGTGTGTGTGTGTGTGTGTCTGTCTGTGTGGTAGACATGCACAGATGTGCACATACACGTGGAGAACAGAAATGGACATGGGGTGTATTCCTCAATCACGCTCCACCTTACTTTTTTGTTGTTTCAATGAATATTTATTGAATTTTTGTGTACTTCATACAAAACATCTTAATCTTATACCCCCTCCCCCATCTGCATCCCCATACGCTACCCCCATGGATTTCATGCATTCTGTTACACATGTTAAGGCCTAAGTCAAGATTTGTACCTCGGTGCAAGTTCATCTACTGGAGTCTAGTCAGCCTGTCTAGAGTCTCTCCCTTAAAGATAAACTCTCCCTCATCCAGCAATAATCAGCTGCCAAAAGTTCTTCAGCCTGTTGCCCATTTCCCCAGTTCTATGCTGGATCTTATTTTTAATTATATATATATACACATATGTCTGTGTGGGAATATGTACACATGAATGCAAGTGCCCATGGAAGCCAGAGGTATCAGATTCCCCGGGAGCTAGAGCCACCTTACTTTTTGAGACAGGTTCTCTCAATGAACATGGAGTTCAATGATTTGGCTAGATTAGCTGGCCAGGAAGCCCCAGGACCTCTCCTATCTCTACTTCCCCAGTATTGGGGTTACAGGTGCATGTTACTGTCCCTTTTTTGTTCATTTTTTTTTCCTGATGTTGGTGGTGAGAATTGAACTCAGGTCCTTATGCTTGTGCAGTAAGTACTTTACCTATTAAGTCATCTCCTTAGCCCCAGATTTTTTTTTTAAGGAAGAAAGATTAACTGGCTCAGGGTTTCAGAGATTTCAGTCCATAGTGAAGGCTACAGCTTCTTTCAAATATTCAGAATACCTGAAGGAAAACCAGTCTGACAAATGACCAGACAAACTGACCATTTGCTTACCCTGCCTCCCCACTCCAGGAAGGAGATACAGCCTCCAGCCTAGACATGTGGTTCCTTATCAAAAAGACATCTGGCTCCTTACCAACCACCTTGCAGATGATACTGGTTCCCCATCAGAATTCCACATCTCTCCTTCCAAGACACCACCCAAGAAGGCACAACCCACCTTATGGGATTCTGGGAAAGCATGAGACCCTTTCTGGGGTTTTCTGGGCCCAACTATAAATTCTAGACACCCCCCAACCCAGCACACAACCTATATTCCCTCAGAAAGGCTGCTTGTCCTTCAAAGCTAATAAAGCTACCTACACATCTGTTGAGGTTGGTTTGTACTTCTTTATAATGTCGCCCTTTCATCCCTAATTCTAACAATACCTAAATTCATTTGCTCCTCTATGGCTATTTCTTAATTTTATCATCACAAATAATACATTTTGTAGCTGAGCATGGTGGCACATGCCTTTAATGCCAGCACTTGGGAGGCAGAGGCAGGCAGATCTCTGTGAGTTCAAGACCAGCCTGGTCTACTTTGCAAGTTCCAGGTCAGCTGGGGCTACAGGGAGACCCTGTCTCAAAAAGACAAAAGACAAAAAAAAAAACAAAAACCAAATACTGCATTTTGTATATATGAACAATGATTTTTTTAAAGGACAAGTCTCTAAAAGTGGATCTATTCAAATACAATATAAAAAGCTTTGTGGTTTCCGAAATCTATATTTTACATAAAATTCTAATTCATATATCAGAAAAAATATGAAGTAAAAATTCTTTTAAAAACTTGTGGCTGCTGGGCATGAGGGTACACTCAGGAAGCAGAGGCAGGTGGATCTCTGTAGATCGAGGCCAGCCTGGTCTACATTGCAAGTTCCAGGCCAGTTGGGGCTATAGGGAGGCCCTAAAAAAAAAAAAAAAAAAAAAAAAAAAAAACCAAAAAAATCTTGTGGCTGAGAGGAGACAATCATCACTGCATTTCAGAAGGATGCATTTACAGACTCTATTACAACTTTACATGAAAGAATGATGCTATCCATTGTAGTATAAACTTTAAAGTACAACAATGTGTGAAGGACATAACGCTGCCATGTAAACTAACAGAGACATGCATGCATAAACTTTCTTACCAGCCACACAATATTGCCTAGATTGTCAATGAACACTTTTCCTCTGATTTTTTGGTGCTATAGTAAAGTCATCTTGAACATTCTTGAACAATTGTTAGACAACAAAAAAAGAAGGTTGTCTGAGTGTACCGGAGTTTTTGCATATCACCCACCAAAGTCATGGTAACTGAAGTGTGATAATGTAAGACAGTAGGAGTTATAGTAGTATCTTTCTTACTCAAATCTGGATTAATAGCTCCCACCAACATTCTAAAGGTATACTATACTTTCTGGCCCAATACATAACCACCAAAGAACTTATATTTTAATAGACAAAACAACAAATAAAGGCAAAAACAAGAAAATAGGCCAAAGATATGAACAGGCAAATGATATAAAAGTTATCAATGAGTACTAAGCATATGAAAAATGTTTAATGAAAATATTGTTACAATTCAAAACAATGTGACTTTACAGTAAAACTGTCATTAGAGGTGTAAATTTGTTCAAATCTCAGCCGGGAGTGGTGGCGCATACCAGCACTGGGGAGGCAGAGATAGGCAGAGGACCTCTGTGAGTTCAAGGCCAGGCTGGTCTACATAATGAGTTCCAGGCCAGCTAGGGCTACTAGGAGACCCTGTCTCAAAAAGACAAAAAAAAATTGTTCAAATCTTTTAGAGGGCAACGTGGTAATTTTTATCTTCAATGCATAAAATATTCAGTGCCTTGTACTAGATAAATATTCAAAGACATTGACTGCAGGACTGTTTTAAATAGCCAAGAGCAAAACAACACAAACTGATCAATCACACATCTCTTAAGTGAAACATGGTACCTAAACATATTGAATACTACATACTATTTGTACTATTAGGTATACAGGTGCATAAAATTAAAATTGGAAAGCTCTTAAACTGTCAACAATGATATATTGGAGCAAGGGGGAAAGGGAGGGAGAAGACCATTTATAAAAAACTTTCATTTTCTTTTTCTTTTTTTTTTTGGTCTTTTTGAGACGGGGTCTCCCTGTAGCCCCAGCTGTCCTGGAACTCACTATAGGCGTGCGCCACCACACCCGGATAGAACTTTCATTTTCTAAATAATTTTACATTAAAATTTTCAGAAGCATATATTAGAAAAAATGAGGTATAAATATAGAACTAATAATCTTTATAGGCAATTAAATTCAGTTACAAGTGATAACTAATTATCCTTGATTCCCAGAAACAGAAAATACTTACAATTTTTATCTTGTGTTTTAAGTCTGGATCAATAGTCCCACCAGGTCCAATTTGTGCAATAACTGATTTGAATGTGTTCTCCAACTGTGAAGAAAGAGTCAAGTCACTGTCCTCCCCACTGAAAAAGCAAAGGTAACATATGCTGGTTGTTCTTCTGAGTCTGTGCTACTTCACTCTAGTTCCATTCATTTACCTGCAAATTCCAGGATTTTACTGCTTAGGAGAACTCCAATGTCTCTCTCATCTGTGGATATTAGCTCCAAATCCCTAAATGTGAGTATACATTCTGATATAACCACAGGGGCCAGGAAAATGGAAATGAACTACAGGGATAAAGGGGACGGAGTTCAGCTAGAGAGAGGGGGATATAGGAGAGAGGTGTTTTTAAGGAGGAAATGAGGACAAGGGGATAGTTTAACTGGGGAGGGAGTAGGAAGTGCTATATGGGGGGAGAGGAACTATAAATAATGCTCAGATGGTATGAAAAAAAACAAGTAAATGTATTAGTTCAAAATCCTAGTGAAAAATATACATACAGTAAACATGTATACATGTATACACATGAGTACATGTGTATAGCTGAAGGCTATATAACAAAAACTCAGTGCTGGACAGGAGAAACCTCTCTGAGTTATTGGTCAGGGTAGTCCAAGAGACTCCCAAAATAACACAGGCTATTGCAGTGAACACAAGCTTAGTAATAGCATGCATTACTCTCTCCTTTCTGACAGAGGATGCAATGTGACAAGATGCCTCAAACTCCTGCCACCATGCATTTCCTGCCATGATGGTCTGTACCCTGGAACTATGAGCCAAAATAAACCCTTCCTCCCTTAAATTGCTTTTGTCAGGTATTTTGTAGCAGAAACAAGACAAGTAACTAATACAAAGTATAACTCAACTAGATAGATCCCTGTCCCCATAAACTTGAATATACAGACATGAAACAATCATAAATAAGAATCTAATTATAATTGTGACAAATGTTTAAAAAATAGTTGAGCTACTCTTACCTTTTCACTTTTCTGTGGATTGTAAAATATTAAACTTAGAAACAGAGGCAACATGATAATTACTGGAGGTTGGTGATAAGGGAGGTTGGGGAGATATTGGCCAACAGGCAAAAAATTTCAGTAGACATGAGAAGTCAGTTCAAGAGATCTGTTATACATTATGATGACTTCAGTTAACAATACAGTAACTTGTAAACTGTTGGGGAACCCTGCTGCTAGGGTTGTAGTCCTCCATGTCCAGATAGCTCTAAGGGGCTCGGTGCCATATGGAAGGACTCCCCTTCTCAGCAGAAGGCTTCCTGCTCTCTTCCTGACTTACCCAGAAAGTGCTGCCAAGCACGGATGCCTGACCTTATTTGGAACATGACCTTTGGCATAGTTACCTGGAGTAAAAACTACCCCCAGGTTTTTTCTATATGATAATTAGGCATTGCCCAGTAGTTGGACGATAGGAGCCTACTGCCACATGTAAATAAAGCATACTATGAGCACCTATCAGCTGAAGCATTGGCTACTGCCTCCACACTATATTTTCCCTAGTTCTCCCACTGAATAAACGGAGCTGTTTCACTGAATCTAGAGATGTTTCACTGAGTCTGGAGCTGTTTGCATCACTGAACCTGCCTCCCCGGAAGGGCCTTCTGTCAGTGCTCACTGGCCGTCCTGACCCCGCTCGTAGCTTCTGCTCCCTTTGTCCTTGTGGAGCGGTGGCCAATGACCCATGAGGAGAGGGAGCGACCCCACAGTAAACTTCTAAGCAAATGTAAATGTTTTTACTATGAAAAACTGACAAGCCTCTAAGGTAATGTATATGTTCAAGAGTTTGACTTAGCTATTCCAAAAATATATACACATAACACATACTATATACTATAAACACAATTTTAGTTGTCATTTTAGCAAGACAAATATGTGTTTGTGTGGGATGTGTGTGTGTGTGAGGGAGAGTGAGCGAGAGAGAGAGAATATATCACCATATAGACCTTCAAAACTGAGTGATCATTAAACAACTTCAACTTCATTCCAATATATGACAACCTAGTTGAAAGGACAGCTCCTTGAAAAACAAAGTATCAGAATTTATTCAAGGGGAAAAGAAACAGGAAAACTGAGCAACCTTGTGTCTGGTCAAGAAACTAAGCGTACAGTTTAAAATTGTTTCCACAAAGAAAGTTTCAGATCCAATTTGTTTCACTAATAAAATTTGAAAATTAAGAGGAACCAATACCAATGCTACATAAACTTTCAGAGTAAGAAGAAGTAGAAAAATTTCCCCATTTTATAAGGCTTATATACCATCCTAAAAGTTTATAAGAAAATTATAGAGGCCAGAGAGATGGCTCAGCGGCTAAGAGCACTTATTGCACTTCCAACCTGAGTTCAGTTCCCAGCACCCAACAATCACACAGACACACACATATACACATAAATTTCAAAAGTCTTAAAGAAAAAAAAAACAAACACAAAAAATGTTTTTAAAAGATGTATTTATGGGGCTGGAGAGATGGCTCAGCAGTTAAGAGCACTGACTGCTCTTGCAGAGGACCGGGGTTGCTCTTGCAGAGGACCCAGGTTCAATTCCCAGCACCCACATGGCAGCTACAAACCACCCTTAACTCCAGTTCCAGGGGAATCTGATGCCCTCTTCTGACCTCTGCAGCATTGCACGACATGGGTGCACTCACGTACATGCAGGCAATATAGTCATACAGATAAAATAAAAATAATAAATTTAAAAAAGATGTATTTATTATGTGTATATATGTGTACCTGGCGAGTTTATGTGCATCATGTGTTTTAAGTGTCCATGGAGGTGAGAAGGCATGGAATCCCATGGAACTGGAGTTACAGCCAGTGATGAGCCACCTGATATGGGTTCTGGGAACCAAACTTTGGCTCTCTGTAAAAGAAGTAAGTGCTCTTAAATCACTGGGTTATTTCTCCAGTTCAACACAAAAATCTTTAACAAAATATTAGCAGATTGAATGTAGCAATATGTAAAAAGATACTACGTGATGACCAAGCAGGAAACATCCAGCCATATCTGGAAAGCTTATTATTTTAAGAACAATATAATTTAAAAAAATCTCTATCATACTCTCAACAAATGGAGAAAAAAGCATGTCAAAATCCAACATAGTCTCAGAAAATGTTCTCAGAAACCAGAAATAGAATGACTTTCCCCCAATAATTTCTCCAATAATTTCCCAGTAAGGAGAATCCATGTATATTTTCAAAAGCTGTAGCTAGCATCAGAGTTAATGTTGAAAGACTGGCTTTTTCCCCTACGACAGTCAGGGCAAAAATGTCCATTCTCATCATCTCTATTTGGATTGGCCTAATACTAGGACTAGCCTAGGCAGCAGGGGACAGAGAACACACTGAGTGAAAAAGAGGTAAAACTGTCTTTTCATCCAGAAAGCAAAATGATCTATGTAGGAAAAAAAAAGCTTTATTTCTACAAAATAGCTACTTGAAAGATGTGAATAGTCAAATTGAGCTCATTGACTACCTTGACTCAAGATTATAAGGCACAAGGTCCTTTCTGTGTGCTAGTAATGATTAATTTGAAATTTTAATCTTTGTATAATAAAAATATGAAAGATGTAAGAAAGACATTTAACAAAATGTATGCAAGCTTTATACACTGAAATCTATTATGCACTGCTGAAAGGATTTAAAGACAAGAATAAATGGAGATATATCATTTTCTTGAATCCTGAGACTCATTATAAGGATATCATTTATCTCCAAACTTCTCTAGAATAGTCAATGAAATTATAATCAAAATGGGTTTGTTTTGAGTAAAAATTAAGAGATTAATGGAGAATTAAAAATATATGGAAATGCAAAAACCTAGAAGAGCCAAAACAATTGTGAGAAATATCAAATTTGCAGGGCTCAACTATATAATTTCAAGCTATTATAAAGTAACAGCAATCTAGAAATATCGACGTGGTAAGGGAAAAAAAATGTCTGTTCAACAAACAGTGCCAGAATAACTGCTCTCCCTATTCACAGAACTTGGATGCATACTTGGTGCATCATATAAAAATTAATCTGAAATGGACACAGACCTAAATATAAAATCTAAAACCCAAAATTCTAGAAAAAAATGTAAAAGTTTTGTTACTTTGCATTAAGCAAAGATCTATTTGGTAAACAAGAATCATTAAGAGAAAACTGAACAAATTAGACTTTGCCAAAATTCAAGACTTTGATCTTATGAAAGACAAGATTAAGAAAAGGGAGAGTCAAGCCATAGATAGGAGAAAAGGTTTGCAAAATATGTCCATGTTATAAACAAGTAAACAGGAGAAGGCAGAGAATTGATAAAAAGGCCTTTTCTTACTGGCACCCCTCACCTCTTACCAATCAACAGTAACCACAGGAGATGGTTAGTTAAATTGGAAATCAATGAATGGCCTCAATTTTTAAAAGGTCAACTTCTCTATCAGATCTAAGTGATAACACTACTGAACTTAAAAGCTATTTTCAATATATTTCTATCTCTGAACCTTACCTGGTTTAATTTTTCTGTGTGGTTTAGACTTGAGGTCTCTACTGCATTGAAGGTGGGAGTCTTCTCCATGTTCAGTACTTGCTTTGGTGGGTCCATGTTTGAAGTAGACTGTGAAAAGCGTGTCTTTGCTATTGGGAATCCTGTAGAATATGACCCCTGTTGTTTCATTCTAAATGGCTGAGTAAAATTTTTACCTTTTGTGAATAACAGAAGAAAAAAACAAATTGTAACTAGCAATTTCCTGGGATTTATAAAGAGAGACTACTAGCTTGGCATGGTGGCACACGCCTTTAATCCCAGCACTTTGGAGGCAGAGGCAGGCGGATCTCTGCGAGTTCAAAGCCAGCCTGGTCTACATAATAAGTTCCAGGACAGCTGGGGCTACAGGGAGACCCTGTCTCAAAAAGATTTTAAAAAAAAAGGAAAAATAAAGAGACACTACTGTGAGCTAACAGTAAAACTTAAAAGTAAAAATTAAGGAACATGGACATTTTTATAAAAATTCAATAAAACATGCATACAATATGAGTAATTAGTTATCCAAAAAAAAATCCCAAGAAACTATGTTACTGAAAAGACAGGTGTTCTCTAAAATGCCACATAAGGTCGCCTTAATATAATTATTGAGAGAGAGCATTTTATAGGTAAAAAACCTTAAAAACTTTATTTCATTTCAAAGATCAAACAATCTCCAACCAAGAAGTATGATTGGAATTGTGCTTCTCAAACTGGACGACCACCTAATAGTACAAGGAAAGACAGGTGGAAATACTACAAAGGACAGGATTCCAAAATCTAAACTTTCTTCGGTATGTGTGGGAAGGATGGACCACTGGGGAAATGGATTCTGTAGAACAACATGGATGACTGATCACTAGGAATCATCATGGTCTAGTTTACCCCCAACCCCCAAATCAAGTTTACTAAATATACAAATTATTTCTGATATACTGAAGAAAAGGAAAAGGAGTCATGGATGGAAAACATGAATAAGCCAATCACCAGGAAAGAATCTCTACTCCCACTAGTCAATAAATTGGCAAACTGCTTTATATAGCATTTTTTTTCCTGCTTTTCTTCTCTTTTTGTAGTCCTGGAGATCAAACCCAGGGCCTTGCACATGTTAGTGGAGTGCTCTACCACTGAGTCATATCCCCAGCCCTTCTGTATGTTTAACAGCATGACTGAGTCTTCCTAAGTCTGAGTCCCTGAATCAGAATACTGATAGGGTAGAGGGTAAATAGACCTTCAATACTAAGTGGCCTCCACATCTTTCAATGACCACCACATATCAAGCTACATTACCCACAAGTTTAAGTACTGCTTTGCAAACTCATGACACATTCTCAGAATTCACCTATATTAATCTAAATGCAGACTTTCTAGAAAGTGAACAATTAGTGAAATAAGCATAAGATCTTCCGAAAGAGGCTCCCCCTTCCTGTTCAGTGTATAAATTCTACCTGTCTAAGGAGATGGTCTAGGGAGATGGAATATGAATGATTACATTATCCTTGAGTCTTACCTACCACATATTACGAATTTACTAAATGCCAAGATCTTTACAGATCTTGTTTCATGTAAGGTCCTCAGTACAACTTCAAGTAGCAAGTATTATATCTATTGCAGAGATTTGGAAAGTAAGGATTAGGCAGATTAATTTCCCTGAGATTATTCAACTTCCAAGTGGCAGAGACAGGTTTTAACTTAAAACTTGTAGCGTTTGGCCACACGGTTGCCTCTGTGTGTGTGTGTGCCCGGACTGCTCTAACATTTGCTCAACCACAACACAGTCGTTAATGCTAACACTCTTACCTGCTGGCCATCCTCTCTGCTTTTCCTCGGATAGACTCTTTTTCAGTGTCAACAAAGAACCTGCTCTGGTCTGCTCTACAGAAATGACATCCGAAGCTGCACTGAGCACTTCAAACATAGAGAGGAATCCATACTGCATATATTGAAATGACCGTCCAAATCGCTTGGCAAATGCCTTTTCAAAGTCAGAAAGGAGAACAGGAGACAATGCCAAAAGGTCTTTCAACTCACTCTTCACAACAGCTGGAAGAATAGGGGGCACCCTTCCTCGGTAAGGCACTCGACCAGAGCAAACACTGGTTCTTCCCGTTTGCATGGAGTTTTGAGCCTTATGCCTCCTCCTCTGCTTTGCAACTAAGCTTGCTATTCCTTTGGTGGATTCATCTGGAATGGCTAAAGGAAGGGGAGGGAGAAGAAACCACTTTCATGTAAAAATTTCATTCCTTTATCCTGTTTTTAAAAATTATTTTTTTATTTTATGTGTATGAGTGTTATGCCTGCATAAAAAGTGCACCTGTGTCCTGCAATGCCTGTGGAGGACAGAAGAGAGCTTCCAATCTCCTGGAACTGGAGTTCTGGACAGTTGTCAGCCACCATGTGAGTGCTGAGATTTGAACCCTGGTCTTCTGCAAGAGCATCCAGTGCCCCTAACTGCTGAGCCACCTCTCCACCAACCCCCGCCCCTTTATCCTTTGTAACTGCAGTTACACAGCCAATTTTTAACTCTCCAAGGAGCTGTTAATAGAAGTAGCATAATAACATAAAGCCCTTGATTCCACCATTTCTTACATTCCGGGCAACAGCTTGGGAGCTCCTCTACCAGAAGATGAAAGAGAACCCAATGTAGCATTACTGCTAATTGACTCCTGAAGATTTGAATCCCTGGGGTGAACAACAAACTTGCCTACAAGGACTCCTGTGTGTCCCATGAAATTTAATTAGTCTTTATAATTGAAAAATCACACTGTTCTGTTTCTCCTGAAACCATGAACGGTGGTTTGAATGAAAATGTCTCCCATAGACTCCAAGTATTTAGATACTTGGTCCCCAGTGTGTGGTGCTATTTGGAGAGGGGCATGGAACTTTTAGGAGGTGTGACCATGCTGGAGCACTTGGTTGGGCGGGTGCGCAGCTCTGAGAGTTCTTAAGCCTTCGGGGATTTCCAATCCAGCTCTGCTTCCTGTGCACATGCTTAAAGATGTGACTGCTAGGCTTTCTGGAGCTGGGCTTTCTGCTCCCACCAACTCTGGGCCCTGCCTTTCTTTCTATTATGGACGGACTCCAACCCTCTGGAACCCTAATCCCAAACAAGCTCTTCCTTTTATAAGTTTCCGTGGGCACAATGTTTTATCACAGAAACAGAAAACTAATAAAACACCATGCAAATTAGGTCTCTTTTTTTTTCTAGAGAACAGTTTAAGTTTGCACCACAACCTCAAAGGTTGTGACCACCACTGCCTGGATTAAAATCCACTGCCCTGAGATACAGGATAACTGCACAGCTAGAACAGTTCTGCCACTGATTTAATTTCAAAGTTTCTAGATCTTCGGAAGTCTTAAACCTACCTTTTAGGATTACTGTGCCATCCCCAAAGGGGCAGACACTAACCACGTCAGGCATGTCCAACACCAGCTCCATAGTGGACCGATACCCAAGGATTCGGAGTGGTAGATGGTTGCCAACCATCAAAAGGTATTCCTTTTCCAACTGCTGTGGGCTCAAACCATCTTTGGTGGAAATAAGAAGTGACCTTATCTCTTTCCTCAGACAGTCCTGTACACGTTCTTGTTCAGACATCTTGCACTATGGGATTTAAGATAACATTGCTCATGAGAAAAACGAGCCCAAACCATGGGAAAACAAGAGCAATGTTAAATGAGTAGTAATGGAACAGTGACAGGTGCGTTCTGAAGGCGGTAAGGCCTATCCAATGCGTGTTTTGAGGCTTGTGCACCTCAACCCGTCGTCCAACAGAACAAACCCCCAAAGCACGAATCTACGCGGGTCTCAGAAATCAGCGCGCCTGGCCGGCGTGATTCGTCCCAGCTGGGTTCTGGTCACGGAGATCACACGCTCCGCCTGCACACGGGCCGCCTGCACACGCGCCGCCAGCACACGCTTCGCGTACCGGGACCACGCCGCGGGCTCCCCTTCCGCTCACCGCTAGCCCACCCCCGCCTGCCCCCACTCAGCTGCACTCTGCCCTGGGTAGATGGGGGCCCTGCCCCACCTCGGCGTCCCTCACTGTCCCCAACTAGTTCTCTCATCTGCCCCGCGGTCTTCCGCGCCTGAGGCTAGAGGGCAGCTGAGGGCGCGGGTACCTGGCTGCAGCTCGCAGGCCTCGCTCCCCGTGCCCGCCCAGCCGTTGAGCGCCGCGAAGACCCGGGGCGCTCCAGGAGGGCAGCCGAGACGTCTGAGAGGCCCGCGCCTGCGCACTGCGGGTCTTCAGCGCCTCAGCCAAGTGCAGCGTTCCACACGAGGCGGGCGCAGCGGGTGCGACGGTTGGTGCAGGCCGACGCCGGTGCGGCCTTGACGGGTCCCTGCTGTCCGCTGCCCGGCTGCGCTCCGAGGCCCGCCTTCCTCCTGACACAGGTGTGGCTGCCTCACCTCCACCTGGCCGCCCTGACTTTAAAAAGGGGGCGAAAGAGAGGGACTATTAAAGGACAAGACTTACATTGCTGGCTTAGAGTAGAATGGGGTGATTAGTAAGTTAAAAGGAAAATTATAAAGCTCAAAGATGGACCCAAACATTGCAATATTTGAATGACAAATTTTAGAAACAAGGAACACATCTTCAGATTTTAAGAGCCCACGACTCAGAATAAGTAATGGAGAAAAAAAAAAAAAAAAATCCTATCTTAGACAAAGCCCAGAAGAAAGGTAGTCACGAGATTTTATATAGAAACAGATCATCATAAAACAATGGAAATTAGATTGCCATTGGAACAAAATCTTCACAGCTGAATCTGGTATCCCTTTACTCAGGCAATTCATCATTAAAAAGGGCTGGAGTTATTTTCAGACGTGCAAGATTCAGAAAACACCATTTCAATGAATGACTCCCACCAAATGAGCAACGGATTCAGTTATCATCCCAGAGTCTCATGCTCAATAGTGGGAGATAATAAAAGATAACAGATACTGAGCTGTAAATTGCGACTTCACTAAGCCACATTACAGCGATCCTTAAAGAAGTTGACTCAGCATTTGTTTTAATGCTGAAAGGACTGCTGAGAACCTGTTCCTTCAGATATCTCTCAGAACTGTGCTTCATTCATTCTTTAATTGAAGCAGTATATCCAGCATGAAATAGGGAAGTAGAAGTCAGGACTCACCCTTTGTCACAGACTTACCCTTTAATCCCTAGGCCTAGATATCACACACTCAATTTTTCTCGCTTTTTGCAATGATATGTAAAGCATGCATATCCACATTCATACACTAACTTGGATGGGGGGCAGGGGAGAGGAGAGGTCCTGAGCTCACATGCCCAGGTCACAAGAGGAGCACACAGCTTGTTTACATTATAAGCAGTAAGTTTTTGGTTGCAAGGTCAGGTAAAGTATTTAGGCCAGATTATTGTCCATATTGTAAAGGTCATTCCTATACTGTGTTCCTTACTATAATGGCCCCAAATTGTAATAGCCAAAGTAACTTCGTTTTGTATAAAGCAGCCACTTCAAACTTCAAAAGATAGAAAAACGGCCAGCTTCAAGGTCATGTCTGAACTTAGTTGTTTTCCTTTAGAAGAGTGTTCTTTGAAGTAGCTGACCAAAGAAAGGAAAGTATCACGTCTTAGACACTGAAGCTATACTTCTTGCCTAGCCAAGAGAACTAACCAAAACTGTCCTGTCTTCTTGGTAGAATGCTGAAATAATAGTCAGAAAGTTCCTTACTGTCAAGGTCGCTATACATCTGTTAAGGACTACAAATGCTTGTTTTGGCTTCTGTAATTTGCTTACCTGCTAACTTGGGCTGTCTTGACCCTACTCAGGACCACCTGGTATTACTCATGTGTGAAGAAATTCTTGTGGTTTTTGCCTTTATAAGTTGGTTCTGCCCTCCCCTCAGGGCCGTGGGTCCTGAATCTAAGGGGCCACAGGTGGCTATAGCCGTAATAACTTTGACCAATTAAAATTTGAAATTGTATCTAGTGGTCTTTTCCCAGTGGTTTCCAACTCCATAACACAGCTCACCTAATTTTATTCTTTATAACTCAGAGAAAGTTATAATCCCCATTTTTGTTTTGTTTTGAGACACGGTTCCACCATGTAGCCTAGGCTGGCCTCTAGCTTGCTAAGATTCTCCTGCATCTGCCTCTAAGTGCTGGAATTACAGGTGTGCACCACCACCCATGGCTTTGATCCCTGCTTTAAAGCAAAGCATCTGATACACAGATATGAACAAGGATGTAAACAACTGGTGGGTACTTTTCTAGTTTCATTTCTGTTAATGTGATCAAATACCCTGACAAAAAGAAACTTAGAAGGAGAAAGTTTATTTCAGCTCACAAATCCAGGTAATAGGCTGTCATTGGGGAGAAGTCAAGGCAGGAGCCTGAAGCAGCTGGTCACAGCCACAGTCTCGAGCAGAGAGAGGATAAAGGCATGCTTAGTGCTCAGCTGGTTTTTTCTTTACTCTTACATAATCCGGGGCTCAAACTTGGGGAAAGTTTTGAGCATTTATGGTGGGTCTTCTCCTTAATTAACCCAATTAAGAAAATACTTTGTGGGGGCTGGGGAGATGGCTCAGCGGTTAAGAGCACTGACTGCTCTTGCAGAGGACCCAGGTTCAATTCCCAGCACATACATGGTGGCTAACATCCATCTGTAATTCCAGTTCTAGGGGAATCTGAAGCTCTCTTCTGACCTCTGTGGGCATTGCACGACATGAGTACACTTACATATATGCAGGCAATACACTCATACAAATTAAAAAATAAATCTCTTGCAGGCATTCCTACAGGTCAGCCTGCTGTAGATAATCTTTCATTGTGACCCATCCCAGGGAATTTAGGTTGTGTCAAGCTGACAAACTAACCATCACAAGTAGTAAAAATTTATGATTGAATAAAAGTTACTGGAGAGAGGAGAAGAGAGATTCTAGAACTAAATTCCAAGGTCAGTAACTGCAAACCATTTGAAGCTGCACTTGCTTCATTAAGGAGCAATGTTCCCTATTTGGAAGGGTAGCTATAATTGGGATAAGCATGGGAACTGTCACAGTGGCATCTGTCCTTCAGTGTTGACACTTCTGCAGTTCTCCAGGGATGTGACACTGCTTCCAATGTGCTGGATTTGACACACTTGATGCTTCCTATCAGAAAATTCCTTACTCCATGATTGAGAATATCAACATAGATGTTCTACCCATTGCTAAAATTATTCCAACAATTCGCTTGGCAACTAAAACTTATAACCAGTAGCTAAATTCACAGTGCCACTATCCCTATAGCAAGGCAAACTTGGACCAGAATACCATTCGTTTTTCTGCTAACCCATATAAGCTTAAAATAGTGATAGCATACAATGACTGAAATTATTGATGGTTTGGATGTTTGTTTTTGAGACAGGGTCTTCTTGTAACTTCAGCTGACCTAAAACTGGCTATGTAGATCAGACTGGCCCCAACTCACAGAGATCTGTCTGATTTCGCCCCCCAAATACTGGTATTAAAGGTCATGCCTGGCACTATTGTTAGTTTGGAATTGGCACATGGTGGTCACTGGAAAGTTTGGGTATTTTCTTTTCTCCAGAATAGTTATCTGTAAGGAATTTCATAGCCTTTGAAGAAAGCCTGAGATGTTTGCCATCTTGAGTCCAGCATTCCACAGCATCCTCCAGATGAGAGAAAAACCTACCACTTTCCTTGACCTACATTCCCTCCTAGCTTGTCCTTCACAACTAAATCCTTAAAGAGTCTACACTCAGTGTGTATGCTCATATGTCTGGGCTATGCTTGAAAGGCTGTGGATCTGGAATCTGAGCTAGAGCTCAAAATAGGGTGCTAAGTCATGTCTTTAATAGATCATAAGAGGTCTGTTCTTAAGACCTAAAAAGCCTGTGTTTTGCTGGTTTGTTTTTGTTGCTACACAAAACAGTCTTAGTGAGTTGCTGAGTTCATTACTTGGGATCCTACAGATAATGACCAACCACCCAAAAGCTCTGTAGGTCAGGCCACTGTGTTTTCACTGTTTGTTATGATCACAGCCTACTTTCTGTCTTGTAATTAACTGCCTCCACATGGTCTCCTCCCAACTCTGCTTTCATCTGGGAGTATATATTGCAGTTGCTCCTACAAACATTATTGCCTTAGGAAAGTCTCTAGGTGTGTGTGTGTGTGTGTGTGCATGTGTGTAAAGTTTCTGGGGCTTTAGTATTTGTTGGGGATTGAACCTAGGGCCTTTGTGCATGCTAGGCAAGCACTATACTCTCAGCTACAATCCCAGCCTGAGAGGACATTTTGAAGAACACAGTGAAAGACTGGTGAGTTAAAATCACATGATAGATTCAGTACAGTATTCCTATCTCCCAAGTTTTTTTTTTTAATCATTAATGCCTACTTTGGGGTCATTTGATGCCAACGTTCAACTCTGTTGCCATAGAAATTACTCCTAGCCTTTGACATCCCTCTTAGACTTCTTACCTAGTCCTACCCCACCACTGGAAAATAACTTTGCTCCAGCCCCTATTGAAAATGGAAATTTTCATCCATGAGCATCATCAACCTCCAGTAAGGCCTTGCCTCACATCTTCCCTTCTAGTCTCTTTCCTGTTCTTCATTCTTTTCCCCCAATA